ACCTCCGAAAGCTGCTTGCATCTTCGGGGCGAGCGAGATACCCGTGCTCGGGTGTCTCGTTGGGAAAAACGGTGTCCGCCCTGACCCTGAGAAGGTCAGAGTGATCAATGAGTGGCCGACACCGTCGAACGTCAAGGAACTGTGGCAGTTCCTTGGCTTGGCCACGTACTTGTGCAAGTATGATACGCCCGCTGTCACAGCTCCTGAAGAAGGACGCCGAGTGGGTTTGGACTGCTGAGTGTCAGCAGGCCTTCGATGCAGTCAAACAGGGCTTGACGGAGGCGCCGATCTTGGCGGTGGCCGACCAAGATCGCCCGTTCCACGTTGTGTGCGACGCATCCGACTTCGCAATCGGATGTGCGTTGATGCAGCACGATCACGAGGGTCGTGATCGTGTCGTCTACTACCAATCGCGTCAGCTGAAGCCAGCTGAACGCAACCACCCGGTACATGACAAGGAGCTCCTTGCCATGAAGTACGCACTCGAGAAGTTCCGAGTGTATCTACTCGGAAGCAAACCGTTCGTGGTCTATATGGACCACGCGTCGTTGCGGACGGCTGTGAAGTCGCCGCACATCTCGCAACGGATGGCGAGATGGCTCTCCTTCTTCGCAGAGTATAACTTCCGGGTTGAGTACAAACCCGGAAGACTCAATGTGGTGGCCGACGCGCTCTCGCGTCGACCTGACTACGCCACGACTGATGCCGACGTCAATGCCATTGACGCCATGCGATCGAGCACCCCAACGTCGTCACTGTTGGACGACGTGAAGGTCGCGTACGCGCACGACGTGGACGCGAAGCTCTTGCTTGCCTACGGCTCAGCGCCTTCTGACAAAGCTCGTCAGAAGTTGCCGAAGCATCTTCGTGCTCGTGCACACCGTTATCGGGTGCACGACGGGTTATTACTCTACAATGCAGTCGACGACAACGCGGACCGCGTTGTCGTGCCCAATGACCATGACCTGCGACTCAGGATCATGTACGAGTATCACGATGCACCGACTGCGGGGCATCCGGGCCGTGAGAAGACATACCTTCTTCTCACGCGAGACTTCTACTGGGCCCACCAGTACAAATGGGTGCGCAAGTACGTCCGTGCTTGCGAGGTTTGTCAACGTGTGAAGTCTGCGCCTTTCGCGCAGGCTCCCTTGCAGCCACTACCAACTCCACGGGAGTGTTGGCAGTCCATGTCTTTGGACTTCGTGTTCGGTCTTCCCCCGGACAGCCAGGGGAACACGGGCATTGTGGTCTTTGTTGACCGCTTCAGCAAGATGCGGGTCGAGCTAATGGTCCAGCTCGGCCGGAACGATCGAGGCGGTCTGGGAGGCCGCCGCAGACTGCGAATACTTCAGAGCGCCGAACGCAGCGCTCTGGAACTACTCCACGACCGGGACTTGGTCGTGGGGAGACGCGAGATCAAGGTCAACACCAAGTTGACCACACACGGGGCGTGTTTCCACCACCACCGCCGCCAATTCGTGACGCACACGGCTCAACTCGATGGATAGTTGAGCGGGTTGTTGGTCACAGTATCCCGAGAACGAACAGGCAACCGGTTCGTTTTCGTATCCGTAGGAGAGGATTCCATCCCAACCAAGATACATGGGAGCCGCGGAACGTCTTGCTCGAAGACGTCCCGGACATGGTGAGGGCGTACGAAGCCCACCATGCGCTACACGCTGGAAAGTAATACGAGCGCTGTTGTTAACAACAGCGCCCGAAGGCACTTCAAGGGCAGGCTGTGGGTCCTGCCCCCGTGGCAGCGACGCGCTTCGCACGTTGCCGCGCATTATACCCAGCAGCAGAGATGTCCTCCGCTGCTGCGCCAGGGGTCTTCAACTTCGACGTGCTCGTTACGGAACGAGCACGCTCTCTTCAAACGTCACGCATTGACCAAACGGTCAATGGTGGTTAGACGTGCCGAGACCGGCACGTCTAACCTTGAGGGGGGGGGATGGTGTAACAGGGTTACACGCACAAGTGACTACAGTCACTTGTATCTCTGACAGACACGGCGTCTGTTCGAGGTTTGAACACTTCCTCGACCTTGGTGTAAGGTACACCAATGGCTACATACATTTACGACCACCACGACGGGTGGTCCATAGAGACTTAGGATTCCTATTGGCTGAATGCAGCATCTTTTAGCCAATGAGTGACATGCATAGCATTGGAATTCTGCCAACCAGCCGTTGGCAGATTCCTAGTTTAGAATATTACATTTAGAGGAAGTCAGAAACATAAAACAAAAATAGCAGTTCTCATCTTTTACCAAAACACACTACTTGGACTCTTTATCTTGTTTAAAGTATACTCGTGGATCTCGAGTATACTTAACTCAAGTAAAAGAAACCTACGCTTCCTCATACACGTGCGCATACGTGTAAGCCGTAGTAGTGAGCCAAGGTAGGCCCACTACAGTTACTACCACGAGTAGAACCACACCACTTTAGGATAACCAATACAATGGAATATACAAACACACAGCCGCCACTTATTCTTAGACCCTTGGGCGGTGGGTCGTACACCAGTCAACTAATCTGCGATCAAGGTACTGGTCAACCTTGAACGCACTTTCACACGCGCACCACCCTCAGATGAGGGAAATATACAGACCAAATACAATCCGATCCTAAACGCAGTCAGTCAAACTATTCTCGGGGGCGACTGCTACCAAACCACCCGAGATATCAATCGTTAACATGAAATGGGACACACCCTTACCTCAACGCAATGGGCCCAACTGGGAAATGGAATACGTGGATCACTTCAACAGCCGGAGCAGACTGATCCCCACGTAACTGGACTTGAATGTGTGTGGGGAGCTCCGCACTGCCCTTGTCCTTAAAGACAGCGGACCCGATTCCTCGGCGACTTGCGCAGTAGGGGGTAAAACGAACTCTCTGATTGTTATCTGCTAGACTATCGCTAGGCTTTGTGTAAAGGTATCTCTCTCGTAGCGCTCTTCTATTTTCTTCTGTGTTCTTCGCCACGCGTCTGGCGAATATCTTGACTTGAGTATACTGGAACTGTTGACGTAGACACTTCCCATTGGATTCTTGCCCAGCTTCAATGTGCCCGTGTCTTTGTGCATGACTGGCTCTTGAGAAACATTGGCCGCATGTGGCCAAGGTTCCCTTGAACCCGCATTCCTTGAAACCGGGTTTCAGAGTCAGCAGGCCTGAACGCAGTGCGTCCAAGGTCTGCAGCCAAAGGCGATTTGCGCCCAAGGCTGAAACCATACTCAAGGCCTTGCGCCAAGGGTAGGTTGACTCTTCGCTGGGTCTTGGGGCACTTGGCGGGACTTCGTCCGGGTGGCCAGCGGTCTGGACACCATGTACGCGACTTCACTGGGGTGGCTGAGCTCCGGGTACACGAATTCGATGTGGGTTCAGAGCCTAGGCGAGACACCGTACACGATACGTTCGTGCAGGTGTTTTCGACGGCCTCAATGTGTCAACCCGCTTAAGGACGGGGGCGGCCTGGACGGATCGAGTGCGTTCAGGGTTTCTTGTCTGAACGCAGTCTTCCAGGCCTGAAGGGCCCATCCTAGGCTTGAGCGCACTTCGCTCCGCGGAACACAGCCGAATTCCAGCTCAGGTGTTGTCGCACGGTGTACAACCGGGTCCGGGTTCAGTCTCGGCCAATCAGAATGGCGGATTCAGGCGGCTCAGTAGACAGGTGATGACCGGTTGAGGTAAAACCTCGTTCTGTCTCGTCACAACCGTCCCTTCCAGTAATGGTCTGACATAGAGGAAATTCCATCCGAACTGGCACATCATGGCTGGACCGAAGTCTGACGGGGCTGAGCTTGAACGCAGTTCTGAAGCGCGGGCAGTTGGCCAACTGCCACGCTTGCGCACGCTCCTCCGCCCTGTCCTACTTGGTCAGCAACTGTCAAATCTGCGGCCAGACTTGTCTCCAACCACAGACTCCATTCCAGCTTTCCGTATCATTGCAAAATCTTCTTCAAACGCGCGACACCGACGCACACACACCGACACGGCAACCTCGCGGTCACACGAGCGGCATAGCGGCATGGTACCGGCAGAGGGCGGCGCGCCAGAGGCACGCACGCAGGGGGATGACGCGCAGGAGCGCGCCAGTCAATCGGGGGACGCCAGCAAGGCGTCTGAGTCGCAGGAAACACCGGCGGAAGCGTCTCTTTCGGGCAACGAGCGTCGGGTGCACTTCGCGCGCAACAACGACGACAAGGCGGGCGACAACGGCGAGGAGCACGTCGACGCGGATGGCAATGAGGTCATGGATGGCTCCACAGTGGATGCGGAGGCCAAGGAGAGTGATAATCGGCTGAACGCAGATCCCAACGGGTCGAGCAGCCTGAACGCAGTTTCGGCTACCTTGAACGCAGGTGATGAGGCTTCAGATACGCACTCGCTCCTCGCGCCTGGTTGGCATGAACGCCGGATCGTGTCCAACGCTGAATACGCGGGCCTCTCTGTATCCAAGCCGTCCCTGCGTCCAACTTCGGCTTCATCGACGAGAGCGTTCAGCGTTCAGCGAGCTGGTTGGTGCCACCTCCCATCGCTATGGATACGCCGCTCAGAGTGGTCGGAGTTCCGGCGTCTGCAGACGCAGTTCACAATGGCGCGCGTTTTCACGATGGGTACGGCGGGCTGGAGGTGTTGCAGGTTCTCGAGACCCTCACCAACGAGGACTACAAGGACCTTGAATCAGTCATTGGGCCGAGTGTGCGTTTAGGCATGCTAGAGGTGCGGCAAGGTCTCCCGTCAGGCACAAGCCTCGCATCCATGTTGACGTCGTTGGTCCTGCAGCGTGAGTTTGGCTCGGTGCTCAGTGTCTTCCGGGCGGAACACCTTGCTGAACGCACTTTCAACACAGTGTCGTTCCTGAAACGGCTCCTCAACAAATACCGGCAGCTGAAACTGGCGCTCGAGTCCAACGGCCAGACTTCCGCACAGCACACGCTGGATTTGTTGGACGTGAACGAGGGCCTTCGACGCGAATGGGCTGCCATGGAAGTGTACTGGAAGGAGGAGGTTGAACGCATCACTGCAGCCAAGCAGGATGGCGAATCCGCGTTCAAGCAGAATTTCATCCGTCAGCAAGAAGACCACCAACACGCACTGAACGCGCGTGCAGACGAGATTGCCGAACTCAAGTACCAGTTGCAGACGTCTGAAGCTTTGTGTGAAGTTCTGCGTCGAGAGATTCGCGAGAAGACTTTGGGCGCATGGGCGTTCAGCGATTTCTTGGATCGGGAACCACAAGTCACGGTGGCAGGGAACTGGAAGCGCCTTCAAAAGCTGTTTGGACACTTTGCGGACGGCACTACGCCTCCTGCTGGCTGGATTACGAACATCCACGTGGTGTCCATCGACCAGCCACAGTGTGTCTGTGGTGGCTACGCGGCTGAACGCAAGAAAGGCAATGGTGGCGACTCTGCGCCCAAGCTTGTCCCTCCGCTCAGGAAAACAGTTGATCTCACTGGGGGCAGCGCGGGGTCCAGCAAATCCAAGTCCAAGCAATCTGCGTCCAAGAGGAAATCTGCGTCCAAGGGTAGTCGCAAGAAACTGTCCTGGGACGAGTTCCTGAAGAAACTCCAACTGCGTCCAAGCAACTATCGACCCAGTCCGCAGTTGGCCCTTCCAGCGTCGTCCAAGCTCGCTCGTTCCGAGGATGAAGCGCGAGCAGCTCTCCCGGGGCCTCAGGTTTGGCGAAAACTTCGTCTTGATTTGCGCTACGTGATGCGGAACGGTTTCACCTACGAGGATGCGAAGGAACTCGTGAGTGGAGAGCACGTCGTCCACCCGCTCATTCACCATGAGCCCTTGGTCAAGATGCTGGTCAGCATTATTCGGAGCAACGGGCTGGACGCAGTTCCTTGGACGAGCTTCGTTCCAGAGATGTACTACCTCAGCGCTGAAGTTCGACTGGAAAGCATGTTTGACCGGAGTGAAAAGCCTGAACCGTGGTTTTCGTTGGGCGAAGAGTACGTTCACGATGGACTCGAGCCATTTTCTTCCAGTAGCAGCGGGGACTCCGAATACGAACAAGAAGACGATGTTGAACCTGACGATTCGGATGTTGCACCCAAGGTTTCTGAAACTGTAGTTCCAGCGAATCAGTCATCTCCTGCGGCCAAGCGCAAACTCGACATGCTTGAATCGGGTGCGGCCAACCAAAAAGAAGGTTCAACGCTTCGTCGCTCGCCGCGGAATCAATACAAGTCAAACCAAGTCAGTCTGGATCTGCGGTCAAGAAAGCGCGACTTGCGGCCAAGGTCATCGAGCAGCTGACAGAGTCTCCACGTAAGGCCACTGCTCTGGCCAGAATCCCGTTCAAGCGTCTGACATTGGAACAGCTGAGCGTGATTGAAGCGCCCGACCCAGCGACTACCACGTCTTACAGGTGCTCCGGGATCAAGATGTGCTTCTATCAGAAGAAAAGCAAACCTCAGACCATCGGGTTCCCGAATTACGCGCCGCAGAAGTGTGACATGAAGTTTCTCGAGGAACGCTGGAGCATGGAGATGTACGTGACGCTCTTCCCAGCGAACTCGCGGGGCAAGATGATCAAGAAAAAGCTCCCCTGGAACGTCATGTTCGCTGAACGCACAAAAGTGCTGTACTTCCATGACACGTCCAAGCTGAGCGCTGATACCATGCGCGGTCTCAAAAAGCACGTCGAGTTCATGGAGAAGTTTTGCCAAGCTTGATGGGACCTACTGCACTGGATCACGATTAACCTTGAACGCGATGCTGCTTCTCAGAAACTCTACAAGCTTCGCCGCAGGCGCACAGACTCCCTGATCCGCCGATACAAAACCCATCTCAAGAAATTACGCAAGATCAAGGATTTCCCTGAAACGCTGTTTCAAGAACCTGACATCTGGTCGCTGCCTCAGCGCATCTGCAACTGGATCTGGGAGGACCCTCGAGTCGTTGGTTCAGATGGCAAACCCAAGCCCCTGTGTCAGCAACTGGTTGAGCTGAACGAGCGTAAGCCTGCCCGCACTCTTTGGGCGACTGCGGCCAACGAGGTTGAACGCACCAAGTACGTTTCAGCCGATCTCCGCGCCAATCACTCGATTCCCCTCCCTCAACGCGCTCGCAACTGGATCGTCCCTGACCACGTGGACAACGAACTCGAGGATGAGGATGACGAAGACGACACGAGATGAGCGAAGTCGATAACGAGGACGAGGAAGACGAGGAAGAGGAGGACGTCGAAGAAGAAGACGTCGAAGAGGAGGAGGTCGAGGAGGAGGAAGTTGAGGAGGGTGACACGGGTGAGGGCGATCAGTGAATCGCTGGCCGCACTTCTTCATCCCGGACTCTGCACGCAGCTTTAGCATTACTCCATTTGCACGTCGTAGCGTAGCCACTCAGAGTTCAAGAATACGTATTTTCATATCCTCTTGTCTGTTCTCCACCTTGATGCGGTCAGGGTCACTCACTCTTATCTTTAGTGTACAGTCGGTTTCAGGGGCAGGTTCAGTCACTTTCACACGTTCAGCGGTCTGCAGTCGGGCATGTGGGCTCAGCGAGCGCTACACGCCTGGATGATCATCCCCAGCCTGCATGGCCTGGAAGCGGGCTCGCGCCTTAGCTCCCTGATTGAACTCATACAGCAGGGCACCACAGTTCAGCTGAGTGACTGGCAACCACTCTGGTTCGTCGTATCCCTTCCACTTGACTTTGTAGTCCCGAGTGCGTCGAGAGGTCCGAGTGCGCTTGACCCAACGCAGATCCATGATTTTCTCCACTTCATATTCATCGTTCAGAGCAGCAGGCTCCCAGCTGTCCTCTGGCAGTAAGGCGGCATCGAAATCATCGTCCTCAGCTACTTCCGTCTCTTCAGTCGGACGTTTGGGAAACAGTGCTCGCGGTTTCAAGCGGCTCACATGCACCCAGGGGTTCACGCGATAACCAGTGTCCTTCACCTTGAGCTTGACTCTGAAATTATCATGCATCTTTTCAATCCGGAACGGGCTGTGCCTCATGTGAGCCAACTTCCTGCTCAGACTAGGCTGAACCTTGGGTATGTAGTGTGGTGAAGCACCGAACAAGAATTTCCAACTGCGATGACATCAAGCGACATGGTGGCAGAACGATAGGCAGGGATCAGGCTGCGGTCGCGGATCAAGAGGGTCTGTCGAGAGATCTCAAGCGATTGGATAACGTCGACGCGTAAGGCAACACATATGTCAAGACAGATTACGGGCGATCGCGCTTGGACTGCGGCGTGATTCGACATAGACCCAAGCCCGGATCGACGACCAATCTCGCAGATCTAGGGCGACCGAGGACATAAGAGGACGGATCGGCAGCGCACGGCAACTCGCACAGGTCGGGAGTTGATCGCCGATCGCCGATCGCCGATCGTGGATCAGGAGGCGATCGTGGATCGGGAGCCGATCGTGGATTGCCGATCGGGGTCGATCGTGGATTAGGAGCCGATGAGTGAAGCGAATGCCGGATCGGTGAGCAAGAACGTGATCGGGTTCGTGATCTCTTCAAGATATGACCACGGCTTACTGGCGTACAACTGCGTCACGTTCTCGATGGTGAGCAGTTCTCGCTGCCACTTCGCAGGTTCAGGTTCCGGCGTTACGGGTATCACCCATCCTCGCACCGGCCAGATCCTGTCGCGCAGATCGAAAATGGTTATGGCCGACAAAGTGATCTGGCGCAGCTCGATTGGCCAAGGGACGGAGTCGAAATCATCCCACTCAGCGGCATTTGACACCGGCGGCACCACGTTACCGAAAATGGGTACTACGCTCTGAACGAGTGCCTCGGCGGGAGCATCATCTGCGCGGACGTATTCGACAGCGCCAACCCCAACCGCTGCATCGATGACCACAGTGTGGGTGGCTTCCTGAACTTCATTGGGCGTCTCGTTTGGATCGACCGCTCTTTCGTTACCGATCCCCTCTCTCCCATGTCCGGTAGGGGTAGACCCTTCTCGGACCTCAACAGAGTCAGCAGCGATTTCGGATACGACTGCTTCGCCGACGTCAGCGCTTGCTCCTTGCTGGGACGGTTGCGCCGCTGCTAACGATCCCACGGTCCGCACTCGCTTAGGCGAGTCCGTGGCTCGGGACGGGACTGGCGAGTTACCCGTGTAGTCCTCCCCGTGCCCCTCCGACTCGTGTTCGTCATCCTCACTGTCACTGACGTGACTCCGCTTCAGACGACGATGGACACGGTGAGCGCGAGGCGGAGGCAGCGACCGACCTGTTGCATCAGAAGGAAGACGCTGTCAATACTAGTGGGGGCAAACGCGAGAGTTGTTAATAACTCACGGAGCTCGACTTATTCTGAGAACGGACCGCAACAACACTGTCCGAAGCCGCAGTGTCTGCTGCAGTCGAGGGACGTAAGCTACGGCGACGGCTGGTACCGATTGGCGATGACGACGGCTCCGTTGCAGAACGGATGCGAGATGCAGGAGAATCATCTACGGTACGGCTGACGCCAGAGCCGATCTCAGTGCCGGTCGTCCGCACAATGGTATCCACTTCCTGTATTAGATCCTGGAGATCGAGTCGAGCACCGACCGCTGCTGCAGCAGCGCACAGCCGTTGACCGAGAACGTCTCGAGCCTGTTCGACTGATAAACAGGCAGCACGAGCGCGCTCCACGCGCTCTGCACAACCCGCATTCTCGGTCTCTAGGACCCCGACACGATCGTTCAGTCGCTTCACGTTGGACGCTGCCGCTAACGAAGCGGTGGTTGCGGTCTTCAGTTGATGTTTGAGATTCGTGACCTGCGACGACAGCGACGCTACTTCGGTCTCCAGCTGCGAACGCACGACTTCGGCTTCCCGGGTTGCAGAACGGGCTCGAGCTCGGTCGGTGATGGCGTTCTCGGCTCTTCTTTTAGCTTGATCGCGTTCGACGTGGGCCTCATGCAGCTGATGCTGAGCCTGGACACGACGGCCATGGGCTTCGTCGCGTTCGGCTAGCGCTTCCACCAGTTGCTCTGTGAGAGATTCGACCTCTGCACGCGCTTTCTTGAGCGCCACACGAGCAATTTCTCGCTCGGCATGACAAGCATCGAGTTGCCGAAGAAGCGCGGGGTCTCCGCTCAAGGACGCACTTGGAGGAAGACTCGGAGCCGAAGGCGAATACCCACAATCCGAAGATGCCTCCTGGTTTGAAGTGACACTGCCCACGCGCGCTGTATCACCTCCCGCAGTCTCACGCCGAACTTGGACCGGTGCATGCCGCAGCAGACCGCGCCGTTGGCGGTCATTCACGTTCCAACTCGGTAACACGGTTGCGGGCCGCCTTCAACTCCCCATGGAACCACGCGGCAATGTCGTCGCCGTCCTGGATTGCAGAGGCTAGCCGGGTCTCCAGTTCGTCCACGCGTCCGGCCCGGACAAGAGCATCTCGGAGCTCGTCCTGGAGCCGTATCACTTCGAGGGCCTGCGTGCCGTCTGCGGGGCCAACGACAACAGTAGATGCGACGTCTGTCCGGCCGACTGGGCCCGGGTGTTGGGTTGAGTCGGGGCTAGACGTGGAGTCACGGTGGCAGGCTGCCTGATGGTGCAGAGAGCTACCATGGCAAACGAGCGCGCCGTTTAGAGCCATGAGCGCGTGGCAGTGATCTTGCAACCGGGCGTAGCCGTCAAGCAGGTCACGAAGCGGCCCGTTCCCGGTGACGGACGCTGAGCGCTGCACCTCAGCGATTGAAGCTGGAGAAGGGACGCTGGGCAACGGAGGTGCGAGGTCCGGAGAACACAATCCGCACGCGAAGGTGCCCGCAGAGCTACCAGAGAACGACATCCTGTGCAACAACCACGACAATGAGCCACAGGCACGATCAACTTCTCTCCGTCGCTCCAACGCACCTGGGGAGTGCACTGCGGCGACGGCGGGGCGGCTGTGGAAGAGCGACTCGAAGATTTTGCAGAAACTGGGAAGATATCGGCAAAAAAAGAAATCGGGGGAAATACCGGTTTATTACCGGTTAGAACCGGTTACACCACCAAGCCAGAATCACGTGATCAGGCCATACCGGTTAGTACCGGTTGTAACCGGTTTCATACCGGTTCGTTTTTGAACCGTTTTCGGGCTCTAGTGCTCCCCTGGCCCCTCAGTGTATAGTCAAGACCAGTATGACGGCATGTCCAGGTGCAAAGTCAACAGCTGCGCTGCCAGAACAAGGAGATGAATGGAGGAGATCCTCGATGAAGGGCATGGACACCCAGATATAACAGCACGGTAGGGAGGAGCCAAAAGACAGTAGATTGCTAGTCCGCAATTGGCGCCCAAGCCCACAAGTCCAAGCACAAGCAGTAGCCGACCGATAAGGCGTGAATACACCTTTGTTGCCCGCAACTTGCCCGCTTTCGTGTCCAAGACCTCAACGCGTAGAAGAACCGACCCCGGCCGTGCAGACCACGTTGCACGAGGCGCTACGACTAGAAGGCCGCGTGTACTCAACCCAACACCAAGTGTCCAAGAGGAGGGCACTCTAAATTAGTCATGTCGGGGCGGAGTACGCAAAAGGGCCGAGTTACCGACGGAGAGGAGGCGTGCGAACGCAAGTGAAAGGGCCGGAGTACGACCGAAGGCCGGACCGCGCGGACGCATTTCCCGGCGCGGAACGGAGGGAGCACGGAGGCAAGCGATAGGGCCGAAGTTTGAACAGAAGAGGAGACTTCATCCAGGCTACAAGGGAACGGACGAACGGAACGTGAAGAACGGACCAAACGAACGGACCGCGAAGAACGGGACGGAGGAACCGAGAACGGAAACCGCGGAGACAAGCGATAGGTCCTGCGAAGACCGGGAGAAGGAGCGATAAGAAGACAACGAGGCGGCGCGAGAAGCCCATCCCCGCGCCCGTCAACAACAACAACAACGAGCAACAAGACCTCAGTGATGTGATCGTCACCTACGGCTACAACCGGTGCAGACCGTCCTCGGAATTACGATAGCGAAGTCCCGGGGAATTGCGCGACGTCTACTCATCAAGAGCGTGGCGTTGCGTTTGTGAGTGTGAGATAACACTGAGAAGACCGCAGAACGGTTATTGAGGAACCTGCTCCACCACAAAACGCTGGAAACGGAACTTGCATAGTGCAACGTGTACTTCATAGATAAGAAATGCAAAGTTGTTACTGTCAATGTCTTAGCGGCTGTGGTGCAGGTGGTGCGCTAATGTGCTTATGTACTCCGCTTAGACTAATACTTAAATAAAAATAAGTTTTGATTATCGCAGCCCGAAGTTGAATACATTTATGGATCATATAAATGCCGAAACGATCCCGATATGAATATGTTCACGATGTTTTAATAAGAACGAAGCACTAACGATATGCTAAGGAGAGGCATTGCGAAGCGTGAATTGTTATTTAGGCTTATAGCCTTGATACAGAATGTAAAGGCTATACTCTTGGACCAACTAACAGAAACCATGGCAGAGTGATACACTTGGTAAAATAACACGTATACACTTATGAGAGCACACTAAACACGAGCTGTTCTAAATGCAGATACTTTGTAGTTTGGGTTGAATACCTGCGACGATGTTGGACATGGTTTACAACACAGTACCGTGCGATAGAAAATATATTATCTTGCAAGTGCATCTACTTATAGTAACACTGACGTGATGAAGCTGATACCAGCCACTTTTAACCATACTAAGAGTACTCCCAACATACAAACACCTTCTTACGTGCATACAATCCAAATTAATGACATTTGACTGGAAAACAGCCCATCGGAGCGAAGTGGAGGTGGGCGGCCCTCACTACTACGACTAACCTAAAGTTACCGCCGCGTAGCGGCGGCGCTCGGCTAGTCCTAAGAATCAATCAGAGCGTCGTTGTCTGTAGATCACGCGAATTCCTAGTGGCTAAAATTGCTGCCGAGCACAGCGAAGGCGGCACACTGTACCTTTTGCTGCCGAGCGTAGCGAAGGCGGCCCCGTCGCCGAAGGCGACCCCCTCATACAATATTGCGGGGCCGCAGGGACCGCCCAACTTCTGTAGTAGTAACTAAACATTGAGAGTAGTGCAGCGAGCCGACGAGGCGAGCGGAACGGGTCCGCCACTGCCGTAGCGAAGCGTAGGCAGTCTGCTCCAATAGCGGAGCGAGCATAGCGAGCGAAGCGCCAACAAACTAAAAAATCACCGCCGCGTAGCGGCGGCGCTCGGCTAGTTGGAGCAACGCGCTGTCCGTCCGTCCGAATCAAAATCATTCACTAAGTACGATTTCCACTAAGTACGAGTAGCTGCTGAGCGCAGCGAAGGCGACCCCACCATACCGTCAAAATTCCAACGGGGTTGGACTGCTTCCAACCAAAACCGGTCTAGCAACGTTATTAGGTTTTTTGTTCAGCTGATATTTAACCTCACGACCGCCGATTGGATTCTCGGCCAACAGTCCAGAAGCTTCCAGGTTAGTGCTGCGAGTCGTGCAACGCTGCTTGTGCTACCTGTGCTGACTGTGCTGCTGTTGTCTCTGCGTGTACACAGGCGCTGCTGGCCGCTGGGCCGTGTGTGCTGCTGGGCCGTGTGTGCTGCTGGGCCGTGTGTGCTGCTGGGCCGTGTGTGCTACTGACGCCGGGCCATTTGCTGCTGGGCTATGTGCGCTGCTGGGACGTGTGTTGGGTTGCGCCTGTGCGCTCTCGTGGCGTGTGGCTCAAGTGGCCAAGGGTTTGGACGAGTACGGTGCTGTTGATGGATGCGACTTACCCGCGCCCACGGAGCTCGTGAGGTTGATCGCCAGGCCTTCGGGCCTGGAGGATCGGGTTCAAACCCCGACATGGGCATCAAGTATTATGTGTTTTTGCTTTCTTTTTGGACAGGTCGGCTAAGAGAGTGCGTGCTACTCCTGTTGTACGTATTGTGTATCTTATTGACTGTTTAGTGTGCTGCGTGTGCATTTAGGTGAAGAGCAGAAATGGCGGAAGGGCAGAATTGGGTGTCGGGTCGATGACTTCGCCTTCATAGTAGCGCTCGCGAAACTGGTCAAGGAGGACGGAAAGGTGGCCTGCTTTGTGAAGCGCGCGCATGGCTTTGACGACCGAGCCAACGGCTACAGCCTGGGAGCCTTGTGCAGCCAAGTATTCAAGCGTCTTCTTCTCGGCTTCGACTCCAACAGCGTGGACCTCCGCCTTGTACGCTGGCGAGGCCGGATCCAGCTTGAACCCAGAAGGTAAGCAGAGCATCATGAATGCAACTGCGTGTTGTGACTCGTGAAGGATGGCTTTGCTAACTGTTGTGATTCGTACATGCGTGGTACAGCAGTGAACCACTCGAACCACACTGTCGATAGCGCTTTGGAGGCACGTTTGCGCGAGCGCATTGGCTGCGACTGCTCACGTCTTCGTGCTGCTGCTCGGTAGTGTTTGTTTTCTTGTCAATAGATTCTGCGTTCGCCCCCAAAACAGCCAGCCTTTCCTCTACGCGTGTTTGGCGGAGCAATAGCTCGTCGAGCTGCTGCGACAGCTTTTCGAGAACACGGATCATGTTTTGAGAGGACTCGGCCGCTGTTTCTTGTTTCTCTTCTGCAGGTGGTTTGAATGCAGCTCGGAGGGTGATCGACCATGCCAACAGCTCGGAGGCCTGTATGTTGAGGACACCAAGGGCTTCATGAATGCGACGTACGTACGGGCTATCCAAGCGATGGCGTTCCATCTCGGGGAAGTGAAGGATCAAGGTCGCCATCAACACTTCGAGCACCTGAGGATCCAAGTTCCAAGACACTGTCGGGAAACCAGTGACAGCAGCGAAGAGGAGATCCTACAGCTTCTCCACGCGCGCTCGGACGACTCCGTCCAGGGCGGTAAGGTCTGGAAGTCGGGCGCCCGCTTGTGGGTTCCACCCGCTCAATTGGCGCGCAACTTGTTGATCTTCGTGTGTTGTGTTCAGCATGTAGGAAAACGCCTTGCTCACGCGCGACATATTCCAGCCCCCGCGTTCAACAACCCAGTTCGGGCTAATGCGACTGTCGGCGTTGGCGTGCATGGCCCCACCTCTTCTGAAGGAGTGCGAGGTAAGTCCCTTCGTGAGTCCACTCTCCTTTGCTGCCGGCAGTCCACTAACCGTGACTAATAGTCTATTGATATAAGCTTGGGCACCAGGGGCCGAGTTGGCTCGACGTGGCTGTGGAGTCTTGCATGTAGGTGCTTCCGCAAGCTCGCGGTCTAGCTGCGCAATCAGCCCCAGCTCGCCATCGTCGTCTTGGTCGTCGGACGCGGACAGCGCAGGTACGGCAGCAATTTGCGGGAAGATGCGAGTTCCTGGAGCGGGTTGAAGGGCGAGAGCGACAGCTAGTACGTGTAACGGGCACGTGAAGGGATCGTTAGGATCCTTAAACAGGGAGATTCCCTGTTGCGAAGCAGTCATCACATGCTTAAAGCGGAGAAATATCATACCGCCTAGCATATACGCACAGAATTGTCAGCATAATTCGTGGGGTTAATTAATACAAAAATTCAAAATCCTGCACGATTCGTACCGGGGTATACACACAGCTGGGCTTTCTCCAATTGCTCAGCCTCAGAACCACGACCGTAGAGGTACCACATCAACGCCACTAGCGCCGCATCCAGGTAGTCGGAGTTGGCGGAAGCGTGCATGTAGAGAGCCGAGATGATAGTCTTTATATCTTTCGTAGTACATGGTGGCGCTTGTTTCGTGATACCTTGCTCCGGCCTCTTTTCACAGTACCGATCTAAAGTTGATAGCATCTTTTGCAGCTTCTTAGCTACACATTGGCTCTGTTGCGGGTACAGATCCGCCAGCCAGTTCTTAACATTGCCAAAATAAGATAGCACAGTGTTCTTGGACAGAGCTACTCCTTGCCTTCCTATTTTTTCACTAAGAACCACACATACTTATCCAGAATGACAAACAAACTCTTACCTGTGCTGTCCTTAGAAATACGATCATGCACTTCTGTGAGCGTCACCTCCTTCTTCGCAAGGAAGTCTTCGAAAGACTTCACAGCCGTCGCTCTGCTTCTCTGGCTGTTCGCAGGAACTAGCGATGCTACCGACATGCCTGTGTGTGTCGGAACGCAGAATGGAGTCGGAGATGAGCTGGCAGGGGTTGGAAACCTATGAATATTTATTATATTTGTAGTTCACTTGATATTTGTATGGCATACTCGATATCAAATCGCGTTTCCAACCAGATATTGTTGGAATGTTCAGATCAGCGGTTGGCAGTCATTCCCTCGATTTAATTGGTCGAAATTTTAAGCAACGGTAGTGTCTATTGGTTGTAAATGCTAAGAATCGCAGATGACACACTCCTATTGGCCGGAAGCACCATACAAACTTTAAGGTATTTTTCAGGTGTTAGAATCACAGCGATATGCTACCATACGATATTGCGGGGCCGCAGGACCCGCCCCCCGGCCTCTGTAATACAAACCTGACATTGAGAGTAGTGCAGCGAGCCGACGAGGCGAGCGGAACGGGTCCGCCACTGCCGTAGCGAAGCGTAGGCAGTCTGCTCCAATAGCAGAGCGAGCATAGCGAGCGAAGCGCCAACAAACTAAAAAATCACCGCCGCGTAGCGGCGGCGCTCGGCTAGTTTCAGTTCAATCCGAGCTCTCGATCATAGGGCGTGTCATCTGGGGGGTGCGGGCAGGACGGGATACCGCGTGTTAAAATGGCATTGCCGATAGCAGGACGATGCCCAAATCTAAGATAAGCAGGTAGGTTCTTGTGCTAAATACAGAATAGAAATAGCGTAGACTTAACTCACAGCGAACTTCGAACTACGAATAGCAGCACTACGAATAGCAGCACTACTTAACATTGCGATTGCTAGCAATCCCATTGCAATCGTCCCGAGCCAATGCCATCGTCTGAAAGGGTGGCTCCCAATTCGGAGTTTCCCGTTGCAGTTGCCCAAATGATGGCCGACCACGCCGCCCCGGACATTGCCCCTGCTCGTCCACGCGTCGTCGAAGAAGCCGCCGTCATTCAAGACTCCCCTCAACCTGCCGCGGAGGATGGGACCCCTTTGCCAGTTCCGCCATCCTTTGCGTTTCCTGCGTGGAAAGCAGAGCTGGAGTTAATGCTGCAACGCGGGACGGAGCTGGTGCACGAGAGTGTTCAGGCGCTGCAGGGCGACTTCGACGACCGGTCCCAGTTCGTGCGTGGCGACTTCGCGTGGCGCAAGCAGGTGACGGCTTTCCACGACCGACTGCAAGACGTGCTTACGGATCAGCTCGGTCTCTTGGCTGAAAGCATCAGCAAGCACGCAGCACAAGTGGCCGAGAGTCTCGCACAGACTTTGGCCAAAGCGGAGCGGGACGGGCAGCGTGCTATCCACCAGCAAGAGCAGAAGGGAGAGCTGGCGCTGCGTCGAGCTCGCGCCGCGCTGACCAAGGAAGTCGAGAGGATATCGCGCCTGGAAAAGTGTCTGCGCCTCGAAGAAGCACGGCAAGCGGCCGCGATACTGGTGGAGCGCGAGCGCCAACTCACCACTGAGCATAATGCTCGAGAGAGCCACCTTCAGGCGCTGCTAGGCGACATGCGCTCGTCTAACGAGTCACTTGAAACCCTCAATTCGCAGCTACTGGAGGCGCTTCGAACTTCGCGCACGGAGCTTGACCAGTTACGAAACACTTTGGTGCGGTCCATTTCGCGGTCGAAGCGTAGGGGCTCAGTCAATTCGCAAGGAGACGACAAGAACGCTGGTGTTGAGAGTGCCACTCGGGGAAGCGGAGAGAAGAGCGGGAAGAATAGTACTGCGTCCCTGCCGTCCACAGCGAACGAACTGCTACTTGTACCGTCGCTCCGACAGTCACTGAGCGCAGCGACGCAGACTGTGGCGAATCTGAAATCCCGCGTGAGTGAGCTCGAAAGCGCGCGGGACAGTGACAAGAAGCGGCTACAGGAGTTGCAGCTCGCTCTTGCCCACGCTGAGAACGAGAAACTGAAAGCTACACAGCTGCTAGGCGAAGCCCGGTCGGCGCTCATCGACAATGAAAGCAAACTCGTTGAAGCCGCGAACGAAAGCGTGCGGTGGCAGGACAAGTTTGACAGGTTACAGGCCCTAGCGCAGGGTCGGGAGCGCGCACTTGCGGATTCTCAGAGGCTAGAAAATGCCACTCGTGATCAGTTGGCGGTGTTGACGAGTCGGGTGGAACGGGTCGCGACTATCGAGGCGAGATGGCGAGATTTCGAGCGTGCAGTAAAAGAGACCCAGCAGCGCCAGCCAGGAGACGAAGGAGAAGTCTCAGCTTTAAAGAGCGAGATGGACAGTACGAGACGTCTACAGCATATAGTGGAGTCATTCCTCCGCTTAGAAGAAAGCGATAAATCTGAAGCAACAGAGCTTCAGAGCTTGACGGAGACGCAGAAGGAGCTCGAGATCCGTCTGCGGTATGAATTTGAAAGGCGCTTTGGCGAACAACTTATCTTGCGGATAAGTCACGAAAGGCGGCGTGTGCTGGAGCGGCTTGAGCGCATTTGTGCAGCCGAAGCAAAGGACAAGCAGGAGAAAGGTCAACGTAGACGCCAAAGCTTTTCTCGCGTCCACCAGGGTCTCGAAAGCGACTTCACCCGCCTAAAACGCCTCGTGAAAGCTGCTTACGACCAACTTGGTATTTGCGTGGGTGCCTGGGCTGAAACGGACTTGGACGGGCTCCATGCGCGACTGAGTGCGTTTGAGGCCCAGGTGCAGGCCCTTGAACGTGATTTGGAAGCCGCAGCGAATCGAGCAGAAGCTCAACGGGTCTCGCTCGTCCGAGCTGAGTTAGCACAGCAGGAGAAGGACCTTCTATTAGCCGAGTTGACGTCGCGGTACCAGCAGCTACGAGCAGCTCAAGTCGCATGGGAGCCTTACCAACAACAGTTGGAACAACAGGGTGCACTTCAGCGCCAGTCTATTGAGCGCAAGCCACTCACTGTGTACGGTATTCCCCAGCCACTGACCCAAAAGACCAGGCTGCACTCGTTGATGCAACTTCCCACTCGCACAAGGCCTTCGTCAGCGGCACCTTGCTTAGGGTCGGTAGAGCATCCACACCATTCCTTTTGCCGTGTGCCTCAGTCGCCTCCTAGTCGACTTGATCCGCACCGTTATAACAAAAACTGGCACCTAGATCCTCACAAAAAGCAAAGCGAAGGCCGTGTAGAGGAAGTTGAGGAACATATTCGGAGTATGCTGAAGACGAGTTTGCTGGATCACGCAAACCAGCTTGAAGACACTGTTGGTTCCGATGGGGTGAGCTATGCGGCCCTCTCTCTTCATCTACCTTACGGTTTCTCATGTTTTTGAATGATTATCTGCTCTTCTGTAGGCCCTTGAAATTCTTCATCGCCGTCGTCACCGCAAGTAACATTTTCAGATAGCGAGAGAGTGAAGTTTCTCGGCTAGAGTCTGTACGAGGCTCTCAGTAGAACGTCCTGGAGGAGTAAGGCCAGCTCGGGTCGGCTCCTACGCAACTCGGCCATTTGCTTTCGCGTGAAGACTGCAGCTACGGTGTCAGGCGCCGTGGCCGATGCGTCCAACACCCGCGGCTGCATCAACGTAAAGTCCATGTCGCCAAAGATGCAACCCGGCCGGACCCGCCCAACCAGCTCCATTGTCTCACTTTGGTTATCGACCGTCGCTGAGACCGGCACTTCCGTCGGTTTGGCATGCTCCGACTTTGGCGAATCTGACGACAGCGTGGACTCCGTTGGAATTGTCATCAGCTCGACGGTGCCTCTCAGCAGCACAAACCACGCGTCCGAGCTCTGGCCGACACAGAAAAGCCGACTCCCCTCTCTCCATTCACGCACAGTGAACAATTGTGCAAGCTCCTCCAGCTGCTGCAACGTTGAGGGATTGTCCTTGTGAGCGTCCGTCAGATATGCAGCAAACACTTGCGGAAGATGTAGAGTTGTAGCGCTCAGTGGCGATAAAATCAGGTGATGTCCTGAACGAAGTGATCGCCGCTTTGCCGCCGAAAGAATAAGCTGCTGCTCGCACCAGTCCAAAGCTAGGTCCAGATCCGATGTAACGTACGATTCCCTTTGCTGGGGCTGTGGGGCCTCAGGGTTCTGATCGGGCGCTGCGGGGATCACGTCGTTGGCCCGCAGCAGAAACTCGATGCTTGGCTTCATCCCACAGTAAACCGCACAAACTTTACCGAGGCTAAATGAAAGCTTGAGTGCCAAGAAGCACGACCGTGCTGCAGTAGCGTCCATTCCGCTCACTTGAGTAAAATCCAGAACAACGAATTTTGTGGGTCGGCGTTCCCGGTCGAGACACGGTTGCCCGTGTAGATTCACCAATGCAGGGGACATTTTGACGCAAGTTTCGTCGTTGTACTTTGCTTGGTTTTCTTGTCTGGTCGATAGGAGTGGAAGCATCTCCGTTTCCCTCGAAGCTTCATCAGTGTTCGAGTTTGAGTTATCACTTTCGTCCCCTCCTAGCAGTGAGCGGACGTAAACAGCGCTTTTCACGCAGTTTTGGATGCGGGTGGCTGAGCCAAAGAAGATGTGGCCTTGCAGCTCGATCGTGACAATGGCATCCTGCTGCCGCGAACTGTTACTCTCCAGGTTGGAACCGTAAAGCAATGCGTGCTGATCAGCGTTGCGGATGACGTTGCTGGTTTTGTGCATGATTCGAACGTCCTGAGCCTTGGCGTATTCTACCAAGAAACTTGCTGCTGCTAGTGCGATCCCCGTGGCTAGTCCCAACTGAACTCCAAAGCCATTTAAGCAGCAAAACGTCCCCACCACAGTCAAGTACTCAGCGAAGAGAAGTTTGCGGTATACGCCCACCAGCCACGTCTTGAGCAAGTCGATACCGATAAAAATCATTACAGCGCCGAACAGGAATTTGGGCACAAGTGCCATGAGTGAAATCGGCGTCACAACGATCGCCAGCTCGCAGACAGCGAGCGTGACTCCAACGAGCCTCGTAATTCCCGGGAAACTTGCTTCAGCCGTTGAGCTGGGGCGAAAGCGTGAAGTAAATAGTGTTTGACTGAATATGTACGAGCCCGTGTAGCCTCCAGTAAGGCCACTGATCAGGTTGGACATGCCAACAGTTTGGAGCTGCTGGTTGTAGTTCATATTGCTGGTGGTTCCCATGCAGATGGAGGCGATATCCAGTGACGAAGCAAACGCGATCATCACGAACATGCTCAACATAGTTGGGAGTTGCCCAGGCATGGCCCTCCAGTGAATATGGTAGAAATCAAACATTGAATACACGTCCGTGAAGGATGCCCCCTTTCCACTCTCTTCGAGAAATCCCGCGGCGCGTGCGTCGTCCAGAGCATAATTCGAGATCCAAACCACGAGGAAAAAGCTTGCAGGAAGCACCAAGATGCAACTAGGGAACACAGCAAAGTGCCGAAAGCGAGAAGTAAGAACTGCCAGCATGATACCACCCACCAAGGCTGGCGCTAGCAGCGTCAAGCTGTGAGTCGAGCTCACCAGCACACCCCAGCCATATACAGATGCAAGATTCACGCCGGTTGTGAGAGAGATCCCGCCTTTCACCATGAAGAAACCGACATAAGCCAAGTAGCCGCCTATCACGGGCGTCGGCAGGTACTGCACGAGCGAAGCCAGACGCGCTTTGCCCGTGAGGATCAACCCCACTCCCACCAGCATCGTGCTGATGCTCAAGTGCGCGAGAACAGTGGCGACTCGCTCCTCCAGCGGGACGGTCGGACCCAGCTGCGTCATGATGGACGCGGCCATGCTGGCCAGGAAGATCATGCCCGTGTCTTGCACCTGTCCGATGGCGAAGGGCAGCGGCGAGAGGCTCGTGACCACGAGCTGGTGCACCACACTCGACGCGAAGACGAGCTTCGTGAGGATGGGCAGAGCGTCCGCGAACTCCGGGTGACTGAAGATGATGGCCGCGAAGCCAATCATGACGGGGCACAGCACTGAAGGCACACACACGGGGTCAGTCACGTTCGGCTATCACTCCTCTGTGGACTATGAGATGCGTCTTACCGATAGAGACCACGACGCCTGCGAGTACGGCATGGACGACGCCCTGGAGCAGCAACTGCAGCCCTGAGCACGAGGCTGACGACCCCCTGAGCTCGAGGGGACGTCGGTTGACGTTGACAGCGCCGCCGGGGGAGAGCGACAGCGCGCGCAGCACCGAGTCTCCGTCGTCGTCGAAGCGCAAACACCCCCGGTCGGCGTCGATCGTCACGCGCCCAGGCGAGAACGACGGCTTCATCGCGGAGAGGGGAGAGGGGGGGGTCCTAGGTGGTACTTTGTGACGCAGACACTTCAACTTGTGACTTGCAGAGACTCTGCGAGAGGTGCCGCGCTCTCATTGGTCGGTTGTAGATCCGTGTGCGCCACACCATTTCGATTGGACGAAGATACGTACGTTGCCCACGTGGTGCCATTCGCGACTTCTCCCGGGAGATCCCACCCAAGCAGCTCCGATGGCCCCCAAGAACCCCCGCATCATCGCCCTCTTCGACGTGGACGGCACGCTCACGGCCGCCCGCAAGACCGCGACGCCCGAGATACACGCGCGCCTCAAGAAGCTGCGCGAGAGCATCACCATCGGCGTCGTGGGCGGCTCGGACCTGGTCAAGCAGAAGGAGCAACTCGGCGAGGACGGTAGGGCGACCGACCGACGGGCTGGCTGAGTGGCTAGAAGGGCTAATATGTGGCTGTTGTCGTCTGCGCTGTAGTGACGGAGAACTTTGACTACAGCTTCTCGGAGAACGGCCTCGTGGCCTACCACAAGGGAAAGCTCATTGGCGAGACGGTGAGCGAAGTGCTGTTACTTTACCTCGTAGTGAGGATAATGAGACTGGGGTGACTGACCTCACTGCTGGGTGCTCCATCTACAGAACCTCAAGAGCCAGTACTCGAACGAGCAGATCAACCGCCTCGTGAACTTCGCGCTGCGCTACATCGCCGACCTCGACATCCCCGTGAAGCGCGGGACGTTCGTGGAGTTCCGCATGGGCATGATCAACGTGTCGCCCATCGGCCGCAACTGCTCGCAGGAGGAGCGCGACGAGTTCGAGAAGTACGACCACATCCACAAGATCCGCGAGACTTTCGTCGAGAAGCTCCGTGCCGAGTTCCCCGAGTACAACCTGACCTTCTCCATTGGCGGCCAGGTAAGAGACCATGCACTGAGTTGTGGGTTCTATATTGTGCGGCTAACTCAAATTCTTCTCGTTCTTGTTTGGTGACCATTATCTCTAGATCTCCTTCGACGTGTTCCCGACGGTACGAATTGCTCAAATGGAGCCACCTGCCGTTGAACAATGGAGACTGACGGCAGCAATTACATCGTGCTTTACAGGGCTGGGACAAGACCTTCTGCCTGCGCTACCTGGACCCCAAGGACTACGATGAGATCCACTTCTTTGGTGACAAGACCCACAAGGTAAGCTTGCAGTTTTCCCACGCTTTTGGGTGTGTTATTGCCTTGCCATACTAATCCAATTCGATGCATTACAGGGTGGCAACGACTACGAGATCTACACGAGCGACCGCACCATCGGTCACTCCGTGAAGAACCCCGAGGAGACCATCCAGATCCTGGACCAGCTCTTCCCTTAGAGGGACACTTTGTTGTTCAGAGGCTTGCTACTATCGATACCCAACGCAACTTGGCCATCATGCCGAAAGAGTTGCGTGTTTAATACAAAGTATTAGCGCCGTGCCCGTTTGGCGTTGTCGTCATTTTCCTCGAGCAATACGTCGCTGCCAAGAACTTTGGCCATGGGGTCTTCACCGCGTGACTTGAGCAGTTTGTACGCCTCCATCTCCTCCGCGTTCACCTCGTAGTTGCCCATGGAGTTGTACTTGCGCTTCTTGTCGTCCACTTCAGCCTGTTTCTTCTTCTCCTTCGCCGCCTTCTTGATGGCCTTCTTGAGCTTCTTTTCATTTAGCTCAGGTGCAATATTTTCGCCGTACATTTCGCTGCGCTTGCTGATGACACCACCCGCCTGTGCAGCCTCCGACCCGTCAGTTTGACCAGGCTCAAGTTTCTCCTGAGGCTTGAGCATTGCGCGTTCAACGTTCGCAGTCTTCGACTCCTCGAGTGCCTTCTTTCCGTCGTCACCCGTGCAGTAGGACTTGCGGACCTTCGAGTGACAGCAGGCGTATCCCCACGCCATTTCACTGCGGTCAAACCACGAGCCCCAAATGCTTGTGTGGTTGTTCTCGAACGCATCCTCGATGTACTTGGAGCGCACGGGTGCCCGTTCACGACCCTTGACAACGCGCCCGTCGCGTGAGTACTCAACGTAGTGTTCACTCTGCGCCAGCAGAAGCTCCTTGGGCGGCGCTTCCAGGTGCTCTTGGCCGCCATACTTGTCAAGAATCTTGCGACTCTTCTCCTTCTCGAGCGCAGCCTTCTTCTCTTCGTACTGCTTCTTGAGGAACTCGGCCTGCGAAGGGTTTGCAAGCGGGTGGATGTCCGTACCCTTGGAGTATGCCTCCCACGCGAAAAGCTGCGCAGACGCCAGCTTCTGGGCATCACCCGTGTAGCGCGCCACGTTGTCGCCAATGTATGTCGTATCCTCAGGGTTCAGCTCCGGGTTCGGATTGTCACGCATGGACCGCGTCTTAGGGTCGTAGTAGGCCGAGTTCGGGTTCAAGTTGCGCAGGTACTTGGCCGTGTCTTCGCGGATACGCAGATTGCGCACCGTCGTCTTCATCTGGGCGCCGCCCACTCCTCCCTGCCGAGCCACACGCTCCGTGAACATGGGTCCTTCGTCGTGGTCGCGGAACTCCTCGTCCTCGGACTCCATGTCCGACTCGTAGTCCGAGTCCGAGTCGGATCCCGTGTCGTGGTCGTCCGTTTTGTCCTTGTCCTTGTCCTTCCGCGCCTTCTTCTCCTTCTTCTTGTCGGCCGACTCCTTGAGCTTCTTGTTGATCTCCTCGGCGCGCAGCTTCTTGCGCGCCTCGTCCACCTTCTCGTACCGCTCGATGGTCTTGGCGTGCTCCTTGGGGTCGTAGCCGAGCCACTGGTCGCGCTTGGCGTCGAACGCGAGCTTGCCGAACTTCTCGGAGCGCACGTCCACAACCACGTCGTCGCTCTTGAGGTCCTTGTTGGTCTTCCAGGCGCCGACCTTGCGCGGGCGCTCGACGCACTCGTTGGTCTTGTGGCTCATGGCGCCGCAGTTCTTGCACGCGCCCTTGCGCCACTTGCGCTGTCTGCCGGCGCCCGAGGCCGCGTGCTGCTGCTGCTTGCGGCCCTTGAGGTAGAGCTCGTCGGCCTCGTGGATGGACAGCAGGTGCGCCTGGTGCTGCAGCGTCTGGTGCTTGAGCGACGGCCCCGAGTCGCCCAGATACCACGGCCGCTTGCTGATGTACTCGGGGTTGTGCGGGTTGATGAGGTTGCCGTCCGCATCCTGCTCGGGCGGCAGCGTGCCGTTCTTGCGCGCCTCCTCGATCTCGCGCTTCTTCTTGAAGTCGCTGCTCGACAGGCGCTCGCCCCCCGCCGACGCCATCGCTCCGCTCGCTCTTACAGTGTATTGCCCTTGGTGCTCTTCCGGTTGTTGGCTCCGAGTTTGCATTGGCAGAATATATCCCAGTTTCGACCAATCGCAGACGATTTTTGAAGGCGGGAAGCCCCGGTCTGCGCCCATTATGGAACTTGTGAGGGAGGAAGGAGAGCGAGAGTGATTGTCGTCTCGCGCCGGCCATGATCTCGGAGGCGGCCCATGCCGAGTGCGTGCGGCTGCTGGAGCTGCTGACGAACCCGCGCGTGCAGGAGAGCTGGTCCTGGGTGTTCATGACGCCCGTGGACATCGCGGGCTACGACCAGGTGGTCAAGCGGCCCATGGACCTGGGCACCATCAAGAAGAACCTGGGCTCCAAGCCCTCGCGCTGCCGCTTCAAGTCGCACGAGAAGTTCGCGAGGGACGTGCGCCTTGTCTTCCACAACGCGCTGCTGTACAACAAGCAGGACCAGGACGTCAAGGGCTCGGTCTACGCGGCGGCGCAGCACCTCCTGCGCGTGTTCGAGACGGCCTACGCCAAGGCCATCGACAGCGTCTTCAGGGCGGACGACGCGGCCGTGGCGGCGGCCAAGGCGGCGCATCGCGAGGCGAAGGAGGAGAAGCGCAAGGCGGAAGGAGGCGGCGATGGCGACGGCAGGCGGGACGGGGAAGCTGTGGGCTCCTCCTCCTCGTCTTCGCACCATCACCACCACAGCAGCAGCAGCAGTCACCACAGCAGCAGTAGCAGCCACCACCACCACCGCGAGGAAGGAGAGGAGGGCAGCAAGCACAAGCACAAACACAGCAAGAAGGAGAAAAAATCCAAGAAATCGAAGAAGAAGAGCAAGGACAGGGAGAAGGACCGCGAGCACAGACACTCGAGCTCCAGCAGTGGCGAGAGCAAGAAGAAATCTCAACGAAGCGAGCACGAGAGCGGAGCTGTGGCGTCGTCTTCTAGTGTTATCCCGACCAAGGAGTCGTCGAAGGTTGTGGAGCGCTCTGCAGAGCGGTCAGCCACCCCTGCAGCTCCTGTTTCAGCTGTTCCCCAGAGCAGTAGCTCAGTGATGAAGCGAGAGTCGACTTCGAGCAGCGCTGTTAGTGGAGCCAAGATGTCGGATTCGGAGGTGACGGCGTGCCTGACAGTGCTGATGAAGCTGATCAAGTATAAGGAGGGGGCTATTAGTCCTGCCGCGCCGTTCCTGCAACCGGTGGATCTGACCCATTTCCCGGACTATCGCATTAAAGTCCCGAACCGCATGCATCTGTATGGCGTCCAGAAGAAGCTTCGCAGTGGAAGCTACGCCACGATCGATGCGTTTGCGTACGACATGCGGCTGATTTTCTCGAACTGCTTAGTGTACAACAGTGACGTCATCCTAAGCAAAGTGATGCGGAACCACGCCGTCACCCTGATGAAACTTTTCGAAGGTCTGTTTGTGAAGATTGGCGGTTCATGGCCTGGTGTTCCGGAGCGGTGGAAATGCCACCAGATCCTCCAGGAGATTCTTGCACATCGGACGGATGGGCAGGAGACAGCACAATGGTTCAAGTACCCCATCGAGTCGTACTATGATTCGCCTGACCAAATCCCGTACAACTACTATAAAACGGTCAAGGAGCCCATGGACATTGGTACGGTATCATCACGCTTGCACTTGGGCGAGTACAAGCACGTGTCCGAGTTTATTGCCGGTATGAAGCTCGTGTTTGATAACTGTATCCGCTATTGGAAGCCTGACCCCCAGGGGCAAACATACTGTGAGTCGGCGGAGACATTGCTACGCGTTTTGCATACACGCAGCGCGACCTTCGGTTCTTCAGCCAGCAGCAGCAGCGCAACATCTAAAGATAAGCATCGGTCTTCGTCATCTTCGTCGTCAAAGGTCAAGGCGATTTCTGCTACGACTCATTCTTCTTCCGCGCAATTACCACCTGCACCTGTGGTCACTGCACCTGGGGGCGACTACGAAAAGGTTAAGAAGAAGTCGTCGTCCAAGTCGTCAAAGTCATCGAAGTCGCGCGAGTCAACGGGGGGCCTTCCTGAAAAGGACATTTGTTTGGGTATTATGAAGCAGCTTCGAAGTCACAAGATGAAAGGATTCCGAGGTGTTGAAATCAAAACTGCTGGGCCATTCTTGACTGCTGTGGACACAACCAAGTACCCAGACTATTTAACTATTGTCTCGGAGCCGATGGATTTCGCCAAAATTGAGCGCAAGCTTAAAAGCGACCGGTACGGCAGTGTTGACGAGTTCAGTGCTGACGTGCATTTGATTTTTTCCAACTGTCACAAGTACAATAGTGATCCAGTCGAAGGTGCTGACATTCGCGCGATGGCCACCAATTTGCGAAACTATTTCGTGGAGCTCTGTAACGAAAAGCTTGGCCCTCTGGATGGTATGGTAAATGGACCCACTCATACGCCGACCCATTCGGCTCAAGCAGCATCAGTATCCTCGGCGTCTGCGACTAAACCCAAGACAGCACCGCCACCAGCACGCGTGGTTTCCGAGCCCAAGGTGCACAGCTCTACCGCAGCAATGGCGTCATCTTCGATCCAGAAACCAGTGAAGAAATCCCCAGCGCCGTCTCCAACCAAGAGGCCTTTACCTACGTCTTCAGCGACAACCTCGAGTGGTGTTACATCTGCCCGCGATCCGAAAAGGGAAGTAGAGCCCGTCATCAGCAGAAAGCTACCAAAGAGTGAGCCCGCGGTTACCATGACAGCAACGCCGGTGGCTACGATGAAGCCGGCAACTCAAGTGAAGACTACCTCTGTTCCAGCACCCACGACCTTTTCATCTGTGGCGCCCAAGGAGTTGCCTCCTGATAGCACTACTAATGTAGCGGGGCTGACTCCGGAGGAAGCGAAAAGGTTGCGCAAGGAAATGAAAGAGAAGAGGAAGAAGGAGAAAAAGGAGAAGAAAGAGAAAAAGAAGAAGAAAGACAAGGAGAAAAAGCGTGACAAGAAGGACAAGAAGGAACGATCCAAGTCGAGCTCCAGTGCACAGGTATGTTATGATTATGATCGAGATGAGAGTATATCTGCTAACATTGGTATTCATCGGTGTCATTCCTACAGGAAGCAGGATTGGGCGCTCTGCCAAGCTCGTCAACGACGGCCCCAGTCCCCCTTTCTTCTACTACGCCAGCAGCAACGCACACATTGGCTCCACCCGCTCCTGCTTCTGCGTCGGCGGCTCGTCCACTAAAGTCACCGCCCACTGTGCCATCAAGTGCAGCCCCCGCAATCGCCTCGAAGAGAGGGTTGGTTGAGCCGCACGTCGCTTCGAGCTCGGCATCTAGCAAAAAGAGCAAGAAGCAGAAGAAATCGGACCTTAGCTCGTGGGAGGCTGCCTGCGACCGCGTTCTAAACCGTCTGGGTAAAATCGAGCAAGTGGCGAAGTTGCACTTCAATCATCCGCTGCTGGAGGTCTTCCCGCAGTTGGCAAGCGAGTACACGAGCCTGATCGCTGAGCCCATGGACCTGCGGACGTTGCGCGAACAACTCCATGTACATGGATTGACGCAGGCAGAGTTCCTACGAAAGGGCCGGCTTATTTTTCAGAACGCCGTCAAGTTCAACTGCGCGGACGATCCGGCATCGATTCAAGTGCGCGATATGTCTGCTCACTTGATGTGGTATTTCGATTCGTTGTGCGCTGAATTGCAGATTGTCCCTGCTCCAGAATTGTCCGGAGAGCAGAGTCGTGCCAAGCGCAACCAGCTAAGGCGTGAGCGTGCGGAGTTTGTGAATACTGTGCCAGTTGAACTCAAGGCCAAGGAGTGCCAAAAACTACTGAGGGTTCTGAACAGCCAGAAGCACGACAAGAACTGTTGGCCTTTCCGGAAGCCTGTGCGGGTGCTGTTTCCAGCACTTTCGACGGACTATTTCGAAATCATCAAGACACCCATGGACTTGACGACGATTGCAGAGAAGCTCAATGAGTTCGAGTACAAGGCGCACGGAGAATTTATCCGGGACGTGCGATTGACCTTCGAGAATGCAATGATATACAACCGTGCGGACAAGGATCGCGAAGGATGGAGTGTGTACTCAGCAGCTGTGCACATGCTTAGCGTGGTGGAGGATTTGTGGGGAGATGTTACATTGGAAGTGACGGAAAAGACTCGCCGCCGCGAGTTGCTGCGCAAGGAGCGGGTGAATGACGCGAAGCGGAAGCGAAGCGATACCCCAGTGGTCGGTGGTGAGCGTGAGAAGAAGATCCACAAACACCACCACCATTCGTCAGCAGACAGCGAGTCGGGGCACAAGCACCATCACAAGCATCATCACAAGAGCAGCAAAGGGCGAAGTAGTGACGGTGGTGCTGTCGCGGCGGTTTCAAGCAGCCAAGCAGCAAGTGCTGCAACCCCGAGCAAAAGCGCTGCCGCTGCAGCTCCTGTTGTTACTGCAACCTCAGTTGTCGGAACGGTTGTTGTCGGCGGCGGCAATGGCTCGCGCGAGGATGCCAGTGCCTCTGACGCTACAGCTACTCGGGTGAAATTGCAGCTCATGCCTAGCAGACCAAACATGGAGCGCATGAACAAGCAGGAGCGCAAGGCTGAAGAAAAGCGGCGCAAACGTGCACGGCGCGAAGAGGAAATGGCGCGCACGGAAAAGAGGCGCCGCACTGCCGTGGCAGCTACAGACGATGCTCTACGCGAAGCCGAGATTCGTAGCCGACGCAAGCTGCAGAAGCAGGAGATGGCTGAGGCTGTGCGTTTGCGTGAGGAACGCGAGCGACGTGCAGCAGAAGAGGAGGCTGAGCGCGCGCGTCGGGCTCAAATGAAGCTGAACGCTGCTGCTTGGACCGGCGTGTTGCTGCCAGCTACAGGCGCCGCGTCGAACAAAAGAACAGGATTCTGGGCGAAGAAGCATACAAAGCTGCAGATACCTGCTGCATTCCAACCTCCAGCTATCAATGCTTAAGCTGTGAGAACTGGTGTGCTAAAGAGAAAAACCGAAACTAATGTATGCCGTGCCAACACAAGACTTGGTTGCAGCGATTCCAAGCGTACTCTCACAGCCTTGGTGGTGGGAGTGAAGGCAACAAACATGTATTGTTGCCTTTGCTCGAGCTGGGATTGAGAAAATAAAACACAACGAAGAGTAAATAAAAAGGATTCGCGCGGCAATAAGTTGTTGGCACCATCACCAGAACACTCGAGCTCATATTGACACCGAGTTCTCACCTGAAAATCGAGTGTGTCTGGTGCTGGGGAGTTGCTAACCATGTATACGAAGAGACTGAAAGGTGCATTCCATCGGAGCGTCGCAAGAAATGCACTTCACGCTTGGGCTGGCGCTGGGTCGTTGTCGTCTTCGTTGTGCAGTGTAAAAAATCGTTGTGCTGTTCGACTTGCAGTGTGAATCAACAGGTTCCCCGCCAGGATGAGAGAAGATGCTCTAGATCGCTCCACGCGCGTCTTCTACCATCCCAGTCGGTTGTCATTGTTCGCTCATGTTTTCAGTAGTTTGTTGTCTTGCCCGAGGTTTTTGGCCGGTCGGTTCCTCGTGCGAGGCCTTGCCGAGTCTGTTTTGATTTTTGTGTTATCTCCCACCCTCTTTTTCCTCAGGAAAAAAAATGCGGCAGCGAGCTAGCGAGTGAGCCATGCAGGTCACCAGCTCGTTCGCTCCCTTGCTTCAATCAAGATCACGAGCCTTGCTCTTTCCACTTCACTGTTCTTGCGTCTCCCACCCTCATTCTGCTCCTTCCTTCCTCTGTCTCCCCCCGTTGGTTTATAGCAATACCCCCACTTAGGGGTACTGCATGCACTGCTCTTGCTGGTTGCCAAAGTTCGGCTCCGCCATGAGTCCCGTTTCAATACCCTGCCAGCCGTACTTGAAGTGGTAAACGTGTGGACCCGTCGTGTCCTCTCCTCCGCACGTGTGGTAGTTGCCCTTGCACATGCACGTAGGAACAGGAGGCGCCACGACGGCGTAGCTGTCGCTCGGCGAGCACGGCGACGGGCACGTCTCGAAGCCGTAGCTCTTTCCGAACGATGTGTTGATGCCAGCGGAGTATAGATCCACGACATGATCCGGGCGCAGAAGCCCGCAGGCGAGGTGGCTGGGCACCACGACCTGGGACTGAATAAACAGCAGCTCCTCCGCCGGCACCTTGGCCCAGCGGTCCTTCGCCTGCGTGCTGGCGGCCTCCAGGTCGCACACCCCGTAAGCCATGGTGTAGAGCCACGACTTGCACTCCCAGAGCACGTTGGGGTCAAGCTGCAGGAACTGCGCCACGAACATAAAGTCGAGCGCCGAGTCCACGATCAGCAGCGCGGCGCCCGCCAGCACACTGGGCCAGTACTCGATGGCCTGGTAGTCGAGCAGCGCGATGTCCACCAGGCGGATGGCGTTCACGAACAGCTCCTTGGTGCCGGACGGGTTGCGCGCCGGGTTGACAAAGTCGCCCATCGTGTCCAGCGGGCGCTGGTCGGCCGAGCCGCCCGCCACCATGAAGAGCAGCCACGCGTAGGGCGTCGTCGGGTGCAGGTTCCACTGCAGCTCCTGTAGATCACCAGCCACATAAGAACAGCGTTAAAAATCCATCGCCACCCATCTGTCTGCCATCTACCAGCAGGTGCAGCAAGCAAGGTGCTCGCTCACTCCTGCTGCCCCCTCCCTAGAGTACTGCTGCTCTAGTACCTACCACAACATAATCCACTTCAAGACGCGCGAGATCCTCCGCCGCCAGTTGGGTGCCGCCCCTCTCGGCCAAGAAGGCGACCAGCTCGGCCGCCTTGGGCGGGTGGACCTCTTCGATCTTGGCCGCCATGAAGACGCAGGCCAGCCCCAGCACGCGGAGCTGGCGCTGCGTGTGGCGCACGTCGTCGCCGTAGCCTGTCGCGTAGCTGCCGCCCTGCTGCGAGGCGGCCGCGCGGCGGCGCAGCAGCACCTGCGCGTACTGGTTGGCGAAGTGCGCGGTCTGTCGCTGCAGCGCGAAGTGGGCCGCCACCTCGACGATCCAGTGCCACGTGAAGCCGAACTGCTCGAAGGCCGCCGTCTGCAGGCCGAGCGCGAGCGGCAGCTGGCGCACCGAGTCCGGGGAGTGCGGCGCCGGCGTCTTGAGCGGCGACTGCAGCGGCGAGAGCGCGCCGAACGCGGCGGCGGCGGCGGTCGTCGGGGCGGACGCGAGCGCGAGCTGGTGGTAGGACATCTCCTTCTGGCGCATGCTGAGCACCGTCATGAGGTCGGGATTCATGGCCGACGCCTGCGCTGTTGCCTGGGGGCCGTACACTCTCCTCTCTCCGCCTTCCTTCGCTTCGCTGCTTCCTTCCTCCGCGGCTTCCTTCCTCCTTCGCTTCCCCCCGTCACTTCCACACTCTCGCGAGTATGCGGCCGGCCGCGGCGGTAAAACCTCGCGGGAACGGCGAGTACAGTTGTGCACTGTGATACTAAGCTTGTGAGAAAGTAGATGATACTAAAGGTAAATGTAGTTGTAGAGGTGAACAGTGTATATTTTCTTTTTAGACACAAATGCGATACATAAGGGTATACATTGATAAGTTGCTAGAATGAGAGCCAGCTGGCTCTTGAGGTTATTTGGCCCATTTTGACAGAAATGGGCACTTGAATGTGCGGGTTTCTACCGACTTTGCTGCTTGTTGGTGCAGGAAGTTGTCGGCGGCATCAGACGTAGCGCTGTGTGCGGAGGCGCCTGAAAGAGAGAGCGCGAGAGAGCCATTGCTTGCCATCGAATGAGGTGGCAAGAGAGCTCGGCTCGGCTGAGAACATCCGAACCTCGGCGACAGTACACGTGATCGTAAACTACTGTTCACGGTTGCTTCGGTTGCAGATGGCAAAGCAACATAACTTTAGACCGCAGCCCCAGCAAGCGGCAATAACCAAGTCGGCGCTATGAAGAGACACTTTAGCGCATTGGCGCACTATTTTTTTTAATCTACTTCTCTGGCCCACTTAAGAAACAACATTAAACCTCAATTTGATGTGGACCACATGTCACATATGATTGGGTATAATCAACTGTTTCAGCTTACTATTGGCCAAAATAAGTGGGTCTGCGCATGTCGAGATAATCGCGTAGAAAAACCTCAAAACTGTAGCCCTTCTAACTCGTCTCCAACAGGCGCTACAACATCGACAACCGAACATAAGGGTAAAGCAGTCACTCGCGATTACGCTGATATTTTATTTTCTAATATCGCTAATATTTGACGTCACCTCGCTAAAAAACCTAATGTTGCCTAAAACGGACTTCAGATAAAAGACTGTTTCTCTTTTCTTTCTGCTGCTAGATTTTTTTAAATCATAGCGTGAAACGGAGCAAATGCGCAGCTTTCGGTTGAGGTATTGCGAGTCGCCGAACGATTTTTTTGTAAATAGTTATGTCCAGAAAACCGAAGTGTTGTTTCTTATGTGGGCCAGAGAAGTTGTGGTGTAGCGGGATCGGCCAAAATCTGGTTAAGGCCTGATCAAGCTTCCCACCAGCGCCCAGACACCGACTAACGGAGGGGGTCCCCCAACGATCCGTGATCGGCTGAACTTGTTCTCACCTTGTGTACCGCTCGGCGGGCTGGATCTGCTCTCTCTGGGCTCCGAAGATGCAGCACTTGGTGAAGATCGAGTGTCTTGGCGTGACGCGGGGATAGTTTGTGGAGCAGCGCGGTAGTCTTCGCTCTGCGTCCGAGTATACGCTCCGATCGAGGGTTGTTCGCTTCGATCGGTCGGCCTGGAGTAGATCCAAGGCCTGTAGTTGCCTTTCCGGGTGTGTTCCTTCCTTTCCTGAGTTGCTTGCCACTTCCTATAGCGGGATCGAGGTCGATTGAGAGACGCAGCGATCGCCGGCCAAGCAGTACCCGGTTGATCGAGGACTTGCACACAAGAGATAGGTCACTAGAGTAGGTCAAGCTGGCCAATGTATTAATCCAGTCTTAACCGTACCGCTAGTTCACTACCCAAAGTGTCGATGCTTGCCGAGGCCAATGTAGTTCCTGGGACTTGACGCCTTGGGGGACTTGTGCTCTTTGGTGCAAATTCTCTTCTCGAGAAGG